ATTTTAAAAATACTAGAGATCGTTGAGTTGTAAGTTTTTCCATTTAGGATTAGAAAATAGAGTTTTTACTTAGTAACAATATTAACTAGCCGCTAAAATAGTTTAGTAACAATATTAAGTAACCGCTAAAATAATTTAGTAACAATATTAACTAACTGCTAAAATAGTTTAGTAGCAATATTAACTAACCGCTAAAATAGTTTAGTAAGAATATTAACTAACTGCTAAAATAGTTTAGTAACAATATTAACTAACCGATAAAATAGTTTAGTAACAATATTAACTAACCGATAAAATAGTTTAGTAAGAATATTAACTAACTGCTAAAATAGTTTAGTAACAATATTAACTTACCGCTAAAATAGTTTAGTAACAATATTAACTAACCGATAAAATAGTTTAGTAACAATATTAACTAACTGCTAAAATAGTTTAGTAACAATATTAACTAACCGGTAAAATAGTTTAGTAACAATATTAACTAACTGCTAAAATAGTTTAGTAACAATATTAACTTACCGCTAAAATAGTTTAGTAACAATATAAACTAACTGCTAAAATAGTTTAGTAAGAATATTAACTAACTGCTAAAATAGTTTAGTAACAATATTAACTAACTGCTAAAATATTTATGCGGATTTTAAGAGATTGAAAACTTTATAAATTATTATAATTAAATTTAAAACATAAAAACAATTCTTGTATAAATTCACTATTCATCGAAATTTTTTCTTAAGACAATGATCTCCATAATATATCTTAATTCATAAAAGCAATTAAAAACATTTCTGATTAAATAATGTCTTAGTTTGGTTGCATTTTTTATTTTACGATTCAGAGCAGATTTTCTGTAACTAGAAATTAATGATTTAAATTTTTAACTTATATTTATATTGAATAATTTTATAACTTATATTTTTAATACATTAAGCGCAACAAAAATGAATTTCTTGAAATTTCATAAATTAAGTGTGTGCGTGTGTGTGTGTGTGTGGGGGTAACAAATGTAAAAAGAAAATTACAAAGATTTTCTAAAGAGGAAATTTTTTAAAAATAATTTAATTAGTTTGTGAATCGGTCCTGGTAGATTCATTAATATCAGAAAATTATCCGAGTTTTGCAAAAATTTCCAAATCAATGTCTTATCCATCACAAGATGACGCTAAAGTTTCCTAAACTAATTGATGATCACCAACTGACACAAGAAAAAAACAAATTTTTTAACCAAAATTTTGAAGGTTCTAAAATAATAACAAAAATATAATGTACTAATCAAAAAATCCTTTGGTCTTTCTTATTAATGATAACACAAAGTTTTCATCATTTACGCTAATTTTTAGCTAATCTTTGGAGATATATATATATATATATATATATATATCGATGCATGTTTCATTAAATAATATAGACAAGTTTTGTCTATTTATTTTAAGTAAGTTTCTTTCATATTGTGTGATAAGCTTAATAACATTATCATTGAAAGTCGAAAGGAAATCATCATATTGATATATGTTTAAATCCAATCTAAGCGTTCGGCTTACATAAGCCATTATCAAAGACGACAATTACATTTCAATATATCAAAAAATACACGGACGAAAAAATAATGATAGTCTGTTTTTGTTGCATGAAAAATTTCAAAGCAACGACAAACCCGTGTATATGAGACGCGGAAGCGAAAATCGAATCGCTGCTCGTGACGTCACACATGACCACGCGAGTGAAAACGAAGTATTAAATATGGGAAGCCCTTGGCATATATATATATATATATATATATATATATATATATATATATATATATATATATATATGTGTGTGTGTTTGTATGTATGTATATATATATATATATATATATATATATATATATATATATATATATGATATGATTGAAATAAATCATAAAAATTATTTTATTTTCCTATGTGATCTTCATATTTTAGATTTTATTTTGATATTTTCCAATCTACAAATTTTATTGATTTGTTCACAGATACTTACTGTTAAATTTTCAAAGAGATTCCAAATTTTAAGAGTTTAGGAGTAGCAAAGTTGTCATCGTCATGATTTTTCTTTAATTTCTCTGTTTTTCTATGGATGTTCTTATTAAATAAAATGGTGGCACCAAAATAAAATTTAGACATCCAACTCATATCATATATATATATATATATATATATATGATAAATACATACATATATTGATTATATGATAAAATAACTGATATGAAATATCGAAATAAATTATGTAAGATAGAAAAGAGTTGGATGTCTAAATTTTATTTTGGTGCCACCATTTTATTTAATAAGAACATCCATAGAAAAACAGAGATTAAAGAAAAATCATGAATAACAACTTTGCTAAAACTCTTAAAATTTGGAATTTGAAAATTTAACAGTAAGTACATAGAACAAATCAATAAAATTTGTAGATTGAAAATATCAAAATAAAATCTAAAATATGAAGATCACATAGGAAAATAAAATAATTTTTATGATTTATTTCAATATTATTGTCATCAAAATTTTTCAAATTGATTACAGGCTTTATAAATGCTATAACAGGAACCTTTTTAAACATCC